TTAGAGTTTGCATCCTCTCGTGATGGCGCCTTGGTTAGAACTGTGGAATTGAATGTTTAACAGGATGTTTTAATCAAAAGCCAGTGTCTTCCATCATGAAGCTGAAGCTTGGTAGCAAATTGGGACAGTATAAATGGGTAACAATATCTAGCATGTTTCAAATGCAGTAATCTAAAGGTTAAGACAGCAAAGAAATCAGCCTAAAATGTATTAAAAAGTCATGGGAAGTGCTTCCTTTTGATTAGAAAAGCTTGTGAATAAATGAGAACATTATGCATTTAGAAATAAATGTAATTATTTTTGATAGATGCTATATTTATAAATGCAATATTGAAACTCACATGTTTCTTTCAGCAAATATAGAGTTTGCACCTGCATGTTTCATGATTAATCAGCTCTAAGTTACAGGTCATTGACAGAATGAATAAATTATGATTGTGTACTGTAGGTACAGCTTTAACTTCAAACGTGGTATTGCCATCTCAGAGTAGTTATTTTCTGGGCTGTTTGCTAAATCAGTACAAGTAGGTCATGAATATACTAACAATGTCAACATTTCTGAACCTGAATGGAATCATTGAAAAGGATGTTTTACATTTGTAATTTGTAATTTTAGATTTTTAAGTTGCAGAGGACTTGAGCAAGTTAAGAAGTGTTTCCAGATTATATATTTTTAAAAGGAGATGTATGTGGACTGTAAAGTTGTGTTTCTTTAAGGGCATACCTTCTTTAATTGCGAGGGATGTCAGCCGTGTAGAGAAGTGAATTTACTCGTTTTGACCTCTGCAGTGTTGTGTCGTGCATGTACAGTGAACCATGAGCACTTCTACATGTCCCGCATTAATGTGAGACTTTGCTTCATGCAGTCTATTTAAATGAAAAAGGGGAAAACAATAATGAAATTATAATTTGTGTGGTGGAATGCATCTCCTTATTTGCAGATTAATGCCTTGATGGCACAGTGCTGTTGATTACATAGTTTCTAATCTGTGTCAAAAGCCAGGTCTGTCTCATGTGGCCTTATGCAATGCAGCTTTGAATATTTCCTTTGTTTTTTGTTTGTTGAATTGCAAAGCAGTATTTGTTGGTTCATAGCCAAGCATTTTTAAAAGACACCTTTCTGATATATGACACTGGTTGATATATTGATAGACTTTATACTGATCTCTTTACATCTCCAAATTGTAGACCAATACTTTCCTGAGGTTAGACTTTAGTAGCTTGGTTTTTTGTTTTTAAAAATCCTCTGAAACCGCAGGAATGATTACAGGGGACAATCTGACATGAAGGGAGCTTATTTTCCCCCTTATTTTTGTTTGAGATAAACATATCAGAATGTCTGTCTAGACTCCAGATGACCTTTGTTACAGCTTTGAACACCACTCAAAGTGCGCTTTGATTTCTTCATGGGACTTTTTTTCTTCTTCATATTGTAAATATTTTTTAGTCCTTGACCGAAAGTTGCTGTCTGGCATGAAAATAACTGTCCTTTTTTCCCAGAGTTCTCTTTCCACTTCATACAGATGGTCAGGCACTTCTAAATTTAACAATTATAAAGTACATGCTGGCTATAGAAATATTGCATTTATGTTAGTTGTTTCATCTTTGAAGATGATGGTTTGGAATTAAATCTTAGTTAACATTTTTTGTGTCTTAATAAATTCTTAAGAGCAGGGAGCAGGGTATAGAAAAAGGCATTTAAGTAGAATATAATACAGGTGTGTGGGTAATACTATCCCAGGAAATGGCAAAACAAATTGTATATGTATTGTTGCCCACAAGCCAGCTCCTTATAATTGTTTAAAATGCATGAAACCACACTAACATACAGATATGTTTAAACCTAAAATTGTTCTACCATTTACAACATAAAACATTGGCACTACAGAAGACAAAATGGGTTAAATTGCTCAATTACTTTGATTTTCTATTCATATTTAGCTTTTGGAGTCACCACTCGTTGAAAGTGAGCACTAATAACCTGCAAGCTTTCCAATCCAATCTTTAGGGCAGTTTCCCAATACTTTTTAGTGACTGACGCTTTGGAACCTTAGATCCAATTTTACAGCATAAGACAGCATATTCAAAAATTTCAATGTGCTCTTTTTTGTAACATGAATTTCTTTCATCCCTCAATGAAACCACTGCAGGTGTAGAATGAAGTGTACTGTTTGTCCACAGTGAAGGTTTTACAAATTCAGTCTGAAGGCTATTTTTTGTTTCCAGTTTGCAATACGTAGTGAGGTGTTGTGAGTGCTAAATATACATACCCATTATTTGTGATGTAGATCTGCAGTTGCGAATAGTGGTGGGTTTTTGAGCACTGCTCTGTAATCACAAGTTACTGCATCTGACAGGTTTCTGAAAAAAGCTGTTCTGACGAGTTCATGGCTCTGTGGGTTTCCAGTAAGTGGTGGGATTCCAGTAAGTGTTGAATTTGGAGGCGTACAGTGTGAAAAATGGTCAGTTTAGCATGTGCCTGTTCTGCGTGCTTCTGTTCTCGAATGGTTTGTACTTTACATTTCATTGACATTTTCACGTTCAGTTAATGCACTGTGTGAGAAATCACAATGATAACCCATTAGGTTCTGTATGCATGTAAGGGTTAAACCTACAAACCCATGCTGTTTCACTATATGTCCCTCCTGCTCTCTAGATCTATGAAACCCTGGTTTCCTGATGACTTGTCAAAACCTTACATGCACCAGTTTTTCCAGCCCTGATTTACACCAGTTGCAACCCCACAGACCTCCTACTTCACAGTAAATTTTGTTCTGTCATGACAGCACGACTCAAGCCGGCCTGTCTTTCTTACACTTCGGAGGAGACATCAGTTGTTTTTATGCTGAGTGCTTTCGTTGTGTACGCGGGCACTATTTTCAGTGCATTTTCTAGCAAATGCAGAATTCTCTCCGACTCCAAAGTCAGACATTAGGGTGGTGCTTCTGCAAAGAGCCCTTCACCCCAACTCTTTTGTTTTTCACAATACGGAGAAGCTGAGCTCTGTGATGTTAAGTCTAAAAGCCTGTCAATTTCCGCGTTCCGGTGTATCTGAACGCTTTATAATGTTAAGCCTATGTCAAGCATAACATGATCCATTAATTCTTCTCACCGCTGTCCTTTTTAAGAGCTTAATTTCGGGGAGTAGTTGGCATTGACATTGTTACATAACTTTTGAATTGTACTAATGGGCTGTGGTTTCGTGTGGAATATTTTCATCACTGTCATTAGCGGGGTGTAGCTGGGTTGTGCCTGCCTTATTTTGTCACAGAGAACTCAAGTTGGTAGCTCCAGCTGTAATTACACTGGAGATAAATGGACAGTATTAGCCAACTACTAGTACAATCATTCCTTAAGCGTCTTCTTAAGAATTGGCTGTACTGTAATCGCAATTTTACAGTATAAAAGTATAGTATTTGCTGTACTTTTAGCAACAGACTGCTCCAGCTACGGTGTTCAAGGGAACGTTTCCGCAGGTCTTTCCTCCCGGTTGCTCTCAGGGTGTATAACGCTGCCCTAGGCTAGGACTGTTAGCCCTTCATTTGCTCGTCTATGGACAGCATGTTTGCTCCATTGAACTTTTTGGACAATCAGTCTGTATAAAGCTATGCACATTTTGCACATATTTTATTGTTTTTACAGTGACTATGATCATCACATTTTTTCACACACCTATGTATTTATTTATTTGTTATTTATTTATTTTTATTTATTTTGTCGTCTTTTGTTTTATAACTATCCTGATGTCTGTTTTTTGCTCGTCTTGGGCTGGACTGCTGTAACACATCAGTTTCCCTACGGGATTAATAAAGTCTTATCTATCTATCTATACACTGCACTCCTTCTCTTTGTCTTCAGTTCTAGGTGAGTTATGGAATTCATAAGCTCCGCCTGTCTGTAATGTACCAGTCAGGGGGGTAGAGAAGTCCAATGGAAGAAGTCAAACTCCAGTCACTGCTTTAATCCCCAAGCCTTCACCAGACCTGGACCTGTCGAAATCTCACCCTCTTAGCCCGCTTCCACCCTTGGGAGTGCATGCGTATCCATGACACTATTTTTCCATAATCTATGGGCCATGTTTGAAGTTCATACCGCAAAAACAAAATAGCGTATGCAGTAATCACAGTCGCAAGGATTCCTTACAGCCATTTAGCTTACCATAATTGTTTGCTAAGTACAGGGTCCTGTGTCTCGTGTGCTTGTTTTTGTCCTGTCAGAAAACTTAAATGGCAGATAATGGTTTATGCTTTGGAATCGGGGAGCTGGTGTGTATACAGAACAGTCATCTGCTTGTGAGTAAACAACAGACAGTGCCAGTAGGTAAAGAACCCATTATTTCCAGAGTTCCCAGAAGATTTGCATCACAGCCCCTCTTATAGTGAACCTTATGGTGACATCATCACATGCATGTGTGTCAAATCGTTCTCAGTTATACAGAGCAAGAATTTTAAGTTTGAGCTTGTCGTAGATACCTGTAATTGATATAAAAGCAACTGCTTGCTTATGAAAATTCACCTGTTGGATTCATCCGGGGAAAGTACTGTACAGGTGAGAGCGCTCATATGCAACCTTCAACAGCCTCCATTCTGAAACCAGTTTTGCATGAACCGATTGGAAACTGATGTCTGCACACATGAAGATGGGAGTATAGTATGAGGCAAAACATAAACTTTGCTGTCTGGCAACAACTTCTTGTCAGTCTTTTATGTATTGTGGATTAACATAAAATTTATTCCACAATGCACATTATTGAAGGCCACATAGTCATAATGTATCAGCACATCATGAAAGACATCAAAATGCATATTGCATCAAGCGTGCATTGAAATTGCCATTTCTCTATTTCTCTCTATTATTTATCTCAATTTCTCTATTAACAAAATTGCCAGGGATCAGTTTCAGTGTCAGATCTGGTTTCCCAATAAATCAGCTATGAGAGAGAGCAACATCCTATAAGGGGCCAATGACGGTGTTTTTTTATGTGTTCCATTTGCCTTCAGGTGTGTGGCCTGAGCCAGACCCCACCATTGCCAAACCATGGATGCCTGTGCCAGAATCCGTGGTATTCCGTATAAGACCAGGGCGTCCTTCAGAAAAGAGGTAAGCGTGCCTATGAGGAATGTTCAACCGTGCATGTAGTTCAGCACGGTATGGTTTGCCATTGGGTTTCATGCTAAATATTATTCCATTCAGGAGCAAATGATAGAGAATCCCATACCGTATTTAACTGTGTCCTGTTGAGCGAATCACAGCCACTAGTGTGATTATGTTATAGAGTTGGTTGGGCTTACTGTATGTAGTAATAATTCCTTTTCCTTTAAGATCATCTCCGAAAGTTTGGCTTTCTCCCTGAAGACTCTACTGAAGAGCAGGAAGGAGCTTTGCAATGTGGTGCTTGAATTGCAAGCCAAGGACCCAGTATGTCTCACTGAGGTTTGTGCTGAGCCTCTTTTCATGTGGTGTGTCTCTGGAAACGTTTCAGATTGGGCACATTGTAAAGAACAAGTGACAGAGAAATATAACTGGTAAAATGCAGTATTTACCCATGATAAAATTCAATTTGTCAATAGCAACATACTACAGGTGATTTCAAAATGCACTTTTCACTTTCTACTGACAGTGATGGAGCCGCTGTTTGGTTTCTAATTTTATTCTGTACGGTATGCTTGAACCAAATGAAAAATGGCCCTATGGCTTTTTGGATTTTCACTGACAGAGTTCAGTTCATTCAAGACAACCTGCAGCTCACCAGAAATCCAGCAAATGAGGGGGTGATTAAGCCTGGTATGCAGGCTAGTCATATACAGAGTGCTGTTTCCCGTAAACAGTTGAGAAAATGTTATTTACATCAGACAGTCCCACCAGAGTGTCCATGATTGAGGTAAAGTTTATAAAGGGTCGTGCCATACCGGTATAATAAACCTGCCATTCTCTAATGCTTGGTACCTGTTATATTCTAATAATTTGTACTGCATTATCTACGATTCTAGTTCTGATGTTCTTGGTTAGGTAACTTTTCAGGTAGTTTCTTTCCCTATGCAGTATTTGAAAGGAGAAAAGTAACCTAGTGACAGATGAGGAGGCTGTCTAGCCCAGGTATTGCGAATGGCCATGGCTGAAAACTGGCTATGGATGGATATCTGTACCAGCTACCTTCCTCATGACTGCTTCCACAACTGGTACAGATTGAGTTCACATGAAACACAGGCTTCAATGTGACTGTAGTCATGCATTTCCAGTGTTTTCCATGATTCTCACATACAAAGAGGGTTTCCCCCGTCCTGCTGGTGGCACTGTTTTGTTGTGAGACAAATGTCATTTTCTAAATTGCTTTACTGCAAATCTAGACACACAGCTTCACTTGATGACAATCCGTGTACTTACGGAAATCCTACAGTGCTGTTTCTCTGTTTTGCTGCGTGTACTTCTGGGATATCGCATGTTTTGCACAAAAATACATGTTTCATGTTCTAATTTAAATTATTTCAGTTATTAATTTGCGAAATTATAGCTGTAATTCACCACAGCCTTGCGGCATATTGTCATGTCATGTTTTGCTTGGTTGTCCCATGTTTGGGTTTCTATTCTTTAGAAGTCCATGCTTCAGCATTACAGTGCCTGCACACAGCCATGAGGTTTCAGTCTGCAGATTTCGGCATCATCACCTCATTAATGATTGCACAGCTCATTGTGAAAGTCGTACGTAAATATGCTGACAAGGCAGAGGTGATTATACTTACTTGAGCTTTCTCTGCATGTTAGCGGAATAGTATCTTGCAAATACATGCTGTTGTACCATAACCACATGCAGCAGATGCAGTTTTGTTTTGATGCACAGGCATATTTTTAGTGCACAATGTTTTGTTCTTGAAGACATAGATATTTTGACATAGATATTGATACTTATTGAAGATATAGCTATTGAAGATATTTTTTCCAAAGGGTTCAAATAAAGTAAAGAAGTATTATTTAAAGTTTTTTTGTGCTTTATATGGGTCCCTTTCTTTGACCTAAAAAAGTGTTTGTTGCATTGCTGGAACATACTGTAGCACTTGTAAGTCACAAGATGCAGCTATTTTCCTAGCGTGTTAAAATTCTAATATTTGCAATCTGTTTATTTCCATGAGTGGCACAGCACAGCTTTTCTGAGATGTTTGATTTGGATGGATTGATTTTAAGACTCTTATAGTAATGGAACTCTGATAAATGTTCATGGATTTAAATGACGGGATTTTAAATTCTTGCATTCCTAAGTATCGGATGCAAAAGAAATGTCTTGGGCATGGGTATGAGTCCATGTTCTCGATCCCATAGGATTATTGTTCAGTTGGCAGGGAGAAAACAGGGTGGACGTGGTTTACAGAAAATGCCACTCGGAAGGCATTTGTGTTTTTTCCTGAATCCAGTTTAATTTCTCTGCATCACTTGTCACGTGCAAATGAACATCTAAATGGGACATTTTATATGACAAATATTTTCTGTATTTTAATATTTTAAACATGCTTATTATATTATGAATTTACACTTCCTTCTGTTTTGCACCAGGTTCATTTTGTATGTCTGCCTAGTCTTTCTGAAGCATTGGAAATCCCAGTGCAGGTAAGAGATCCTCTGCAGTAACTACACATAAGAAATCAGACATCAGGTTGGCATCTTTTTATCTATATTTTATAAGGAAGCATACAGTCACAGTCAGGATACAGGAAATGTACATTTTTACACATAAAATTAATCTCCTCTCATCTCATTTTCTAATTGCTTACTCCTGGTGAGTGTTTTGGTGTTAACAGGCTTAGGTAAATTATTATATAAACTTGCTCTTTGTAAACTGAATTTGAGTTAGGTTTGTAGTGTTTAATGGCAACACTTCATTTTATATTTATGTGAAACCATTTAGTTTATAAATGGGTGTTATACTTGAATGTGATAATGAGAAATAAGAACACTTACATAGTCACTTGTACAGAGCACACTACCTGCTATATATGCCATTTCAGGAATAACTGAAAGGTGGAGGTAACATTATCAGAAAAAGGCCACTGTGCCATGTGTGGAAGTTTTTGTATAGTTCTAATAGATTTGCAGTGATCACTTCTAAACACCTGTTCGTGGTAGTAACAGAAAGTAACCAGAGCTGTCCTCTGACCAAAAAAAATCCTAAATAAATCCGCTCGGATTTAGAGCACTATAGAGCGTATACTTTGTTTGTGTCTTCTAGGTCTTTATATAATAAATTAAAACTAATTTCAAACCTTCACTGATTTGCACTGTGACTTCTTGCATTCTGTACATTATATATAATGGAGAATTTGAGCAGGCTTGTCACCTATTTATTAGCTACCAATGGGGAAATCCATAGATTTGCCATGTAATGATAGATATTATCTGTTGTTGAATAACTTACCACTGTGGTACGTCCATTAGTTTGTCATCTAATGATGCATTCTGTTGCTAATTTTATACTGCAATATGTGAAAGCAGAATTGTATACAAAAGGTGGAGCTAACTTTGAGCTTTGTCTTATTTTGTATATTTTGGAATGCCAAGCAAGTGTGCATGTGCAGTATGCTGCAGAATGCAGAAGGAGGCTTCTTTAGGAAACACAAAGCTAAATGCTTATTCTTACCGTATTTCATTAAGATAATTTAACCAGTCCCATCCTATTTGAAGGTCAAGAGCATAGTACAGAAGCATTTAGGTTTCTCTCTGCATAATGAACACTCAAGCAGTACCTTTTTTGTGAGCACTTTTGCATATTCTTAAATATTGGTATAATTGAATTTACAAAAAGTACAAAGCCTCATCTCACAGACGAAGTGATTGTGCTGATTATGCTCATTAACATTTTTCATCAACACCATTGATCAAATGGGGTCTATAGAAAATGTTACAGACCAGTAGCATGTGTGCTCCCTTTTGGAAGAGCTAGGAGCTGTACCTCTGCAACACAATTTGCACTAAATTACAGATTCTGTCTTGTGGGATTCTGTCCCATTCCTCTTGTAGATTCTGAGCAAGCAAGTTTCTGTTCAGTGGTCTCTAAACCACAGTCGGCCACACACCAGGCTCAAGTCTGGTGAGCAGGGTATCTAATGCACAAGTATCACATTCAGATTTCACACAAAAACTGTTGTTACACAAGCAGTTTGATGACAAGCATTTTCCTTTTCCTGCTGGGATCCTGTCACATCTGGATGAGCCCACAGGAAGGGCAGAAAGTGGGGGCTTAAGAATTGATTGATGTAGAGCTGTGCAGTGAGGTTTCCATCAGTTACTACAGTGACCAGACACTCCAGACCAATGTCCAGTGACCACAGCTCCGACAATCACACTTGAAACTCCCCATTTGGATAACAAATAATAATCTAATAATGTGATATCAATCATCTAGATCTAGTTGTAGTTTGTAAAACTACTTAAGTTTACAATGTAGAAGTACCAAATGAAACTCAAAAATAAATTAGAAATAGATTAAATTCAAGACTGGGCAAACTTTTAATGTAGATGAGTTCAGGTAGCAAATATGTAAAACATGCAAACAAAAAATCGGAAACACTAGAAGAGGCTACTTAGCTGTCTATGTTTACATGTCATTAACATCTTCAAGTCTGTGGGGAAGCAATTAGAATTGGCAACAATGCTGGGAGATATAATTAAAAGCAGTTCAATCAGGGCATGTTAAGTTAATGTTATAACAATTCATTGCCAAAGGGGATAAGTAAGACTTATTTGGCACCATACATCTGGTATAGAGTGGATAAGTGGAGTTTATTCATTCCTTTCTGTGCTTTTCTTTCTTGATTGTCACCAGGCTTGACACTCAACAGGTTAAATCACCTCAGTACCGTTGCCCAATCAGTGCTCACACTAATGAAATTATGATTTAGTGCTTGGGCAGCATTCAGAGTCACTCAAGTACATCTCAGTGAATCGTGAATGATCAATAAATCTAAATCGCTCCAAAAACATTTAATCAGTATCCAAACTCTTTTTTTTCCTGAAATTATCAGTGCATAAATACTTTCTTTGAATTCTCAGTATGAATTGTTCCTACAGGCACAACCATCCATCCCTACTGACCTGTTAGACCTACTGAAATCACTACATGTGCATAGTCTTAAGGATGAAGAAGTTCTGCTGCTCAAAGATGCAAAGAAGCTCACAGAAAGAAAAGACAGTATTTCTCAGGTAATGCAAGTAATTGCTATACCTTCCTGTTAGACTTCCTGTTAGAAGTACTAATCAAAACAGAGACGGAATGATTTTCAAATGTACAGTATATCATGGAAGTGGTTTGCTATAGTTTTTGTGTCTTTTGTGATATGAAGTGACAGTGAAAACAAGCCCATTTAATCTTGGGGTAAGTTAAATCTGATATATTGCTCTTGATAAATGTTAAGTTTTCATTCTGTTGTACAATCTTTTAATATCCATCCCAAAACAAGTAAAATAATGATTTATGTGCATTCATATTTCAGGTTGAATACATGGTTGGAATAAATTTAGTTCCAGTTTGGTTTGTAGCTTGGGGATTCTAATGGTAATTTTGAATACCTAAATTAAAATAAGGCTGTCCAGGATTAGTGATAGTTGGAGTTGTGAATCCACTATCAGGAAAATTAAAATATATTTACGAGCCTTTGACGGCTTTTGGACTGCTTAAATTAATGATTAAATTGTACAGGGACTATAATTTATATTAAAGTTTCTCACCATATACAACTAATGTAACATTGATTGTGTTTTCATTTATTCCAGACCTCCTGGTCAAAAGCTATTTGTATTATAAGGCAATCGCCAGAACTTCGGAGAAGTATTGGGAACACAATATTTGCTCTTCTGACTAAATACACTACTGGGATTAAATACGCACTAGAGCTGCACTCCCTGCAGAAGACTCTGCCAGACAGCTGCCAAACAGAAGATGATGACACTAACCAGTCAGTGTCGTCCATTGAGGATGACTTTGTGACTGCTTTTGAACACTTAGATGAAGAGGAAATGGCATTATCTGATCATATTGGTAGGTTTTTAATTAGTGCCCTTTGGTTTGTCTTTGGATATAAGCCATTTTTAAAATGGCCAGATTTTTGAGTTTGCTTTTTCACTTGACTGGTGTATTATTACAGTTGCCTTCTGCTGCCACATAGAACTAAATTGCAGCACAGCGGCAATATACAGTATTGGTTTTTCACACTTTGCTATACTTTTTCAAGTCAAGAACTGCCGGATCTTTGATATCGAATGGCATTGGTTGACAATGCTATACGCATAAACCCTGACTTCATTCCCAGAAAGTATTCCCTTTCTTTTGCCCTGAGCCATTACCTCTTTGTGCCTTGATTAACACTGGCAGACCTGTGGTCTCTTTTCCGGCGCAAGCATTGTCTTTGCATTTTTCATTGCAATCTCAGAAATGCACTTTTCTTGCCAGGCATCTGCAGTCACACTTTAAGTCCTTCACGTGTGCACTGGAGGAGTGCAAAGGGGGGAATGCAAATTTCTATATTTTCTACAGGCATGATGCAACCTTTAAGCTGTCTTTTACAGCAGAAATCTCAAGATATTAAAATAGTGTCACAATTGTAGAACCTAGTATTAAAAGCTTATTTGCATATGAAAACATTTTTCTGTCGGAAAATTATAGAGCATTCATTTCCAACAAACAGTTGATATTTCTGGTGTCTTTTATATCTGAAGTTAAATGTTTTCCTTGAATGGAAGGGAGTTTAAATAAAATACAGGAGAATTGTGGCCCATGCATCTGTCAATTCTGTGTATATTTGTTTCTTAGGTTTAAAAAATATACATAGAAAATTATTTACCGCTTAACATATTAAGTTATCATTTAGTAGTGTTTAAAAAAAAAATAGGCAATTAAAAGCTTGTGCGTACAATTGTATTATGTTTTTTTTTTTCCCAGAGGCAAATAGCTGATATCCCCTTGTGTTTTCTCTTCCAGCTGCTAGATGGCAGTGGAAGATGCTTTTTGCTCTCCACGTTGTTTTGAAAAGTAGTGGACCCTCTGTCTTCCCTCTTTTTTTGAGCTAAATGTTTCACACAATCATTAGCTGCAGTGCGGAGTTACCACAGTGTCCAGATGACTGTCATCCCGACTGATATTATAATGCCTCAGAGCACAAAGCAGGTCCCAGAAGGTGGCAGTCTTATTACGCTAGAATGAAACACACAAAATAAATTCACAAGCCTGCAGCATCACCAGATGTCATACTGTAGATATAGAGTAGAATAATGCAACATTTGTTTTCTTAATAATTATTTGGTACTTGCAGTTTCTAATTTTTTGTCTGTTTTCATATAGGCTCTGTGTATTCCTGTTATTTGCAACTTCTTCTTTATGTCAGTTAACATAATATCTCATTCTAATGTAAACAGCATTTGACAGTTATATCACTATGTTGTAATGACTGACCATAATGAGAATGACATGTGACGGTAGTGCTGTGTTATGTTATCTGCCAAGATTTAGAATGTTACTGTTGTCATTTTAGCTAGGGACCTATTGAAATTACTGTAATCATTGTATAAGATCAGCTTTTTCTTTCTCTTTCTTTTTGACAAAAACAGAATATGTGTGTTGAAGCTGAACAATACCAGTTTCCAAAATGGCAGATGGTTCCAAAATGGTCCATTGGGACTTTATATTTAAATATTAAAATGTTATATATATATTTAAATATTCTTTAGATCAGTATCACTTGAGAGTCTTGATCAATGGCTTGGAGGAAATTATAGATTTCCTTGGTTTTTCCAATACATCTGTGAGTTGCTGTAATACCTGTTAACCTTCTGAATTTTATCAGTGAAATAATAATGAATAATTTATAAATTCAAGAGACATCCAGTTATGAAAGTTAACAGGCACAGTCTTTTTAAAGATTTTTAAAGACATGTTCTGTTCTTTTTTACTTCCGCAATAAGTATATATTTGTATATTACTTGTGACTGTTTACTTTTTTCCTTTCATTTCTAAATGCTTATCCTTAGGCCACTACAATCAAAGAAGTCAGCGTGATGTTGCCTCCCAGACTGTTCCATCACATTGCAGAGATACTGCAGGATCAAGGATCATAATTAGCTCTGTCTCCAAGAAGTCATCTGCCAAGCCGGTCTATTCTCCACCAGAAGGATCAGTCTCACTCAAGGGTTTGAAGTCAACACTGACATCAGATCCTGACAGACAGAGAGGTTTCTATAGACCAAGTAGTCCTCACAAAGGTCAAATAGATTTTGCTTTAAGTAGGATTACTGCATCACTTACAGAGTCTGATGAGTCAGAATGCTCTAGTCCAAGTCCCATTATCTTCTTGGATGAAGAGGGTTATCAGAAGAGTCTGAAAGCAAAACTAGACATTCCCAAAATTCCTGTCCTCAAAGATGGGGTGGAGGATTCGGATTCTGAAGTGAGTGAATTTTTTGACAGTTTTGATCAGTTTGATGAACTGGACCAAGCTCTTGCAAGCAATTCCAAAATATTCAAAGAGCCAGCCTCTGCTAGCCAGACCCAGAAAAAGAAGTTTATGAAGGACTATGGTTGTAATCATGTGTCCAGGGATGGTTCCAAAACAGCGGGCATGAATCCTCACAAATTTGACCAACCAGTCCTCCCAGCTAACGTAAAAAAACCTACGCCCCTGAAACCAGAATCACCATACGGCATTCATTCTGATGTTCCAGACTCTCCACGACCAGTGAGGGCCTCCTGTGAGGAGAGTGGAGCATTATTTAGTCCAGTCCGTTCATCTGCTTTTAGTCCATTGGGCTGTTGTAACACCTCTGAGTATTTTTGGAAAGATGAAGATAACAAAGAACTGCGCAAGCCTCAAGACCTTTGCAAGCTATATAAAACATACTCAGATTATGCGAGTAACCTATCAGAAGAGATTCTTGGCTCAGTTTATGGTTATACATCTCCTGTGGACACAAAACTTAATAAAAATTTAAGCTGTGTTTGTCACATGAAATTTAAAAACACTAATGGACATCTTGTGAAACTCGCTGACATCCAGCAGACTGTTACCATAGCTAAGACACAACAAAAATCACAATCATTGAAAGATGGAATACAAAAATTTGCTACAGATTTGGTGGAAAGGAGTCTTGGAAGTGCCTTTAGAGATCTACAAAAAGGAGTTTCTTCCTGCACGACGACACTCTGCCATCTTGCTGCTAGGCTGACTTCTTCAGTGTTTCAAATGGCTTTTCATGAGATTGGCATGAGACATGCTTATGTATTAAAGGAACGAGCCATAAATGGGTTGGCAAGCTTTTTGGTTGGTGAGGCAGTATCTGGGGCTCTGAAGGAGTTTCGCTATGTGAAAAAGCAGATTTTCAATAACACAGTTGCCAGGTTTGCTGCAGATCTCGCAGAAGAATTGGTGTTTGAAGGGATCATGGAAGTGTGCCAGTTCTCACACCCCTCTACTCCACTTACCCCAAGTGAGTGGTCTTTTGAGCAAGAAGAAAAAGTGGTCACATCATATGCTGCCGACCTCTCTGAATCTGTACTTCAGGAAGCATTCATTGAATTGTCCCAGGCAGATGTCACCTTCACAACACAGGCAGCAATCAGCGTATCAGTGGATAATATTAGGTATGTGAGAGCTGAAAATATGGCACAGACCACAAAGACTTGTAATGCATCCACAAATTATTTTGGTCTGCCAGGTGCAACAGATCAAAATATTTCAAATGAAAACATCTGCACTGTGAAAAAAGCTTTGTTTTGTACATCAGGTATTGCAAGTTGTATTCCTGTGCCTGTTGCCGGCAAAATCATTTCTCAGGTTCACACTCCAGCTGATGTTTGTCAAAACAAATCAGGTATTTGCCTTACATCAGAAACTGGTCCAAGAAAAAGCAGAGACTCGGAACACAATATAACTGTAGCATCCAGTGCAGTTATCAGTATAACAAAACCCACAAACTCAATGCTAGATCTTGGTCCTGTTTTACAAGGTAGTCATATTTCTCGTGAGACTGAGGTCCTGGACGTAGAACCTAGCAGTGTAATTGAAGAGAGTATCAGTTCAGATCTATCATCTGGGAAGACAAGTTTTCAAAACTTCTCTGGAAGTATGGTGGACATGATCGTAAATGAAGCCTATGAACTCATGACTTCTTCCAAAGTGAAGAAAACGGTGGGAGAGTGTGCAGAGTTTCTGAGCAAGAAAATTGTAGATAGAATACCTTCAGTCAGTCCATTACATTCGATTCCATCACAGAACCCAAGCACTGAAAATTCAACAGACTGCATCAAAAAGCACAATGCTGACAAAGAAAAAACAAAGGCTTATAACACCAGTGAACCTGACTCACTTCTGAGCTGTGGAGGAGGAAAGACAGATCCAGTCATGGTTTCCATAGTTCAGAATAACCCTAACATAAATTTGAAATTGCAAGACACTAAATGGATTTGCTCAGGAGCTGAAGATGACACTGCATCAAAATATGCTGCTAATCAAAAGAAAGAAAAGGTTAGTGATCAGATTTCTGTCTGTTCCGTGCAACCTCAGTTTAATTCAGAAATGAAAAGTATAGCAAGAGACAGTGAACCATGCTCTGCAAGTGTGCAACTTTCCAGTGGAGAAGCCTCTAGAATTCACTATTCATTGATGAGAGATCACATGGAGGTGTCTTGTCATGAAGCTCCCAGACAGTGTGTCAGAAGGGTTGGACAGGCTGCCGAAGAGACACTGAATAACAACGGTAGGAAACCCAACGTATCCCCAGGCACTCCACCCCCAACTCCACAGCTGCCTCAGCTGGTCTCCCGGGAGCAAGAGTTCAGGCGGTTTTCCAAGAAACTCAAAGGCAAACTTGCCAAAGAATTTTCTCCTGCTACACCTCCTTCAACACCCCATTACCACCATGCGGAAGGTGGTAGTGACACAGAGAAGGCAGATTTTATGTTGAAACTGATGAGGTCTCTCTCAGATGAGGTGGAAGGCATTGAGGACGAAGAAGAGGATGCAGAAGCTGAAGATGACCAATTGGTAGCACACACTGGAACCTGCCAGAGAGAGAGAAGTCCTTCTGTGGAAAATGACCGAGAAGCAGAAGAAAAGGGTGCAATACATTATGCAGACCACTTGGCTTGTCATATAGTTTCCATGGCGACTGAGATGGCTACATTGTGTCTTGAGGATGGAAGGAAGTTTGAAGATTGTGAAAGCAAAGACCTTCCTTTGTACAGTGCTCTAATAGGGCAATTCTCTGAGCAGTCTTTAAACTCTCTTTGGACGTATGCTGGGGAAATGGCTGGGGAGGTCATCAGTGATGTGAAGAAAATCCTGGGTTCTAGCCAGTGCAAGCACAGCACTTTAAAAAGGGTTAGAGATAGCTTATCTGAGTGTCATCAGCTAGGAGGCCATAGGGACTATAGGTTAAGCAGCATGACAGGCCAAGTATCTGGTGACCTCTTGAATTCGGGGCTCAGTTTTCGGCAAAGTAGCAGTGCAAGTGGACTTACATCTAAGTATCCGAGCTGCGAGAGTGTGACAGATGAGTATGCAGGGTACCTTATTAGGGTACTAAAAAGAGAAGGTGGGAACACTGAGCTCATTTTGGACCAGTATGCCAGTAGACTTGCTTACAGATCTATCAAATCTGGGTTGGCCCAGGCTGCAAGGAAGATAAAGCAGAGATGTAACCTGAGACTGTATTCTACTAGAAGGTCACATCATGAAAATGTTAACGAGTTTCTGAGGGTGCTTACCACAGAGCAGGCATCCATAGATGCTAGGAGGAAAGTAGACAGTTTCAGTAATGCCCCTCAATGCAAGTGCCAGCCAATTGAAGGAATGAGCAGGAGGGACTACATGGAGCTTGTTGGCTTTGCAGAGTCTCTGGCCTATAACATAACTTGTGACGTCACAAGAAAACTTCGATCATCTGCTGTTAGGCTGCCCAAATCCCTTACAGATTCCTGCCTCTACAAAAAGTCCAGATTGGAAGACATGGCAGAGGACCTCATCAAAACCACATTTTCGTGTTCTCTCCTGCCTTACACTGAAAACAGCAAACAGTACCATAGCACTGGCAGTTTAAATGATGGTAATTGCAGCGATAGTGTTATGCAAGTCATTGAACACTATGCGAGAAAAATAGTTGATGATACCTTAGAGATGACCATGGCTTCAGTCCACCATCAGTCAGAGGAAGACAAAAGAAAGACGGATAGGGATATGTATGCTGGAAAATTATCTGAAACTGCGCTGAATTCAGCTCTTGCTAGCAAAACCTGTCGATACTGTGCTGTCCGAGAACACCCTTATTATTTCGGTACTCACTGTAGCAATGCTGCCAAGCAGCATTTCCAGGAAATCCACAGGAGGAGGAGGCGGGAAAGTGATGCAAAGACTGAAAACTGTTGCAGTAGGATGAGGGGATGTAGTCTTGGAATCCCTAGGATACATATCGACTTGGATCAGAAAGCTGTTTTTGCTGAAGAAATGGTGTCATCCGCTATTGAGAGAGCCAGGAGAGAGCTGAGCAGCACGAGCCTGACAGCAGACAGTGGGATTGGCCATGATGGCGCAAGCTTTGCTGAGAGCCTCACCACAGAAATACTGACTTCCGCAATGTCTAATGTCTGCCAGACCATTAATATAAGGTAAAACCACATTCACTTTTAGGGCAGCTCTACACTGTGCGGTAATGTGATTTAAATACTATTTAAAATCAGATATTGAGGATTGTTATGAAGGCCTTACTTGCAAGTTTTTTTTTAATGGGTTATTTAATTTTTAAATTAAGAATTAATATCTTACAATTCAAATCTACTTGTGCAGAAATTAATTTTTAAATCCAGCACAGTTTTTTTATGATTAAAGACTTCACTTAAACGTCTGTGGTGTGAATTTACCATAAATCATCTGATCTTCTTTCGGGATTTGTGCAAAACATTTTGTTCTAATTTTGTGTAAATTATGATTAAAACTTTGATTGCAAGCAAAAAAAGCTTAGCTTAATAAGTAATTGCAGATGTTTAAGTACATATGTTTGTTATTTTAAATACACAAGTCCTCTTCAAATTCACTAAATCAAACCATAGTCATGCTGTGTGTGTTTTCCATTAGAAGGTTTTTTTTTCTGCAAAAGGAAAATAATAAAATATACCTCTGTGTTGAGCATATCATGGGGCATTTTGTTGCAGAGGAGTAGTAGCTTTAAAGCTGTCAATTATGACTGTGTTAAGGTTTTATTTTTAAGGAGGGTTGTGTTCAGAGGGACCAAGTTCAAAGGGCTGTTTACTAGCCAGGAAGTCAAAGGTTGCTTAACCTTTGGATGTTCATTTAACAGACAGACTAGCATTATAAACACAATATTTTATTTGCCCACCAACTTTCTCCCATGTTAAAAATGTATCAATGCAACCAACAAATTTAATATGTTTCCCCTCTACGCAGAGATCAGCTAACCCTCTCCTTCCTACAGCTCGGTCTCCCCTTATACTTTTAGGACTGATACCACATCCTAGAATAAGCAAGTCCTCTCATATTTCCACAAACATTTAAAGTGTTTTGGCCAGTTTTGGTTCTGTAGTGTTTAATACTTTTAATCTATATTTTAAAATGCAAAACTAGGCACTCCATATCTTTAGTTTTATTTTACCATTGTTTGCTAACTGCAGTGTGTATGTCCCATTTGCTCATACTGTAGAAAATAACAATAACAAGAAAATAAATACAGTAGCAACCATCCTGAGATACTGAATATTTAATAACTTTTGTTCTTATGGTTGTTTGCTACATCTGTTGTATGTGCACAGTCCCTGCAGTGTAAATTTATTAGACTATGGTAAACAGGCAAACAATAACAGTAATGTCAAGTTACATCAAAATAAACATTTATAATTTACATTAAACCACTAGAATTACTCCTTGGTACAAAGCATTAAAAAATGTAAGCATGTGTTTGTATGTAAACTACTGAAATACTGTGGCTGCTGTCAGCCAGCAGCTAAAACTTAGTGTTGGAGATGACAGGACTGGCAGTGTAAATGTAGGGCTGTATATTATGCATATCACAGATGAAAGGTTTGAAGCTTCATTTGTAAAAGTGTTCCAAACCTTGGAAGCTCAAAAGTATCCCACATTGTAACCCATTTCTTAAACAAGTCGGTGCTAGGTATAACAAGCTGCAGCAGTTTGCTCATATGATTAAAACTGAAACAGATCAATACCCCTGCTGCCTTTGCTTAATCATAATAACTTATTATTTATCACTTAATCATAATGCTAGATCAGGGATGGGTGACTCTATGGCTAGGTCAGGAGTGCTGCATGTCTTATAGGTAATGTACTTGTGCTGGTTAAGAAAAAAAATCCTAACATTTTCTCCAAATATTTTGTTCACCTACAGTAAGTAATTTCGGTTACCCCTGCCCTCAATGCTAAATACGAGAAACTCTTTATGCATTTGCATCTTGGCTTGTGATGACAATGTTTTTCATCCCCAAGACAACTGATGTGCGTCTTTTCTTGTGGGCTTGTGTGCAGTGCTGCGGGTAAAGAAGGATTCCACACGTCTGAATCCACCGTTAGCCAACAGCTCAGTCTTAGTGTTGGGGATGACAGCACTGGGAGCTGGTCCAACCTCAGCTTCGAAGATGAACACCCCGATGAGAACAGCAGTTTTCTGCATTTAAGTGACAGGTAGAGAAGCAGTGTGATATTGCGAGTTGTAATATTAACCTTTTCTTGCACCTTTTCACCTTTTCTTGAAATGATGGATGCAGATGACTAAAGCATCTCCACACTCTATAAAGTGTTTCAGTACTGTTGTAAATAGTATTTCTAACCATTTCTAATATGGCCAGAACATCCACTTGGAAGCAGATCATCGTCGGCTAACCTCCTTAGTCCTAGGGGCACACAGCTTCCACCTCCGCTAATGGATCACCCTTGCCATGTTTATCCCTGTTTTCCAGTGGTCACATCTTTGCATCAAAATGTCTCTGAATTTACAGCATTTCAATAACTGGGCAAAAGAATGAATGAATCAGAGCTGACTATTCCTAACAGTGTACAAATGTGTATCACAGAAAATGAATCTTGATTTCAAAGTTGGAAGCCCGGTAGGACCACCATGTCAGTCAGTTCAGTCATCAAGATTGTCAAAGTAAACTGCTTTTCAGAAAAAAAGTAAAATTTTTGATTTTTTGAGTTTACAATATTGTGCATTTTGCAGTAATTACTTGTGTTACTGAATTTGTAGTACAATTAAGTGATTTTAAGTATTTTAGTGTTTGGTTACTGTCTACTGTTTCAGACATAAGTGAATGGAATTAGCATTGAATTCCCACATGCCTTGCTCATTTTTGACATTTTCTTTGTGTGACAGTTTAGTATTCAGTATTTAAAATTACATGAAAAAAGTTTGGCATAATAGCTTGATTTATATGCTGAATGGTTTCCTTGATTTCTTCTCATAAACACAAATTGCTGCTCTTTCCAAAGTCTATTTTGAGTTGCATGATTTAATGCTGAGCCTTTTGTAGTTGAGTCATTCATGAAGGAGCAATGGGTGGGACCCACACGAGCACACAGGCATCTCTAGGAAAGCTGTTTCGCTCTTCATTGTAGCTCTCTTTAGCAAAAAGCTGTTCTTGTCTTCATGGAACTTTAAAGAACTATTTTTTTCTAAAAGTGTGATCTGAAATTGAGGTTTTGTCAGGGTTACAAGCAAGGTAATCTAAAAGATTCAGAAAATAGTAAAGGATTGTTACATTTAGAATGTGAACAGAAATGCATACAGTATGTATATGCATAAATAAACTTTATGAATAATCTCCTGTCTGGCGACCCCCCAGTGTACTGTATATGGAGTAGAGTTCAGGCTGAAGAGGGCACTGAAGACTGCGTAGGTCAGACATCTTGGTTTCATGACATTTCCCTCCAATGAATGTGTTTCCCATAATTTTCATTCAGATTCCCATAGGAATCTGCAACCTACATAGAATATTATCTACCATTTTGTCTGAGGGAAATCACTTGTCAGCCTTGAGTCTTTTATCAGTTGTGAAACAAGCCTGTCGGAGCAGCAGGCTTGAGGCAATTACCCTGTTAGAATTTAAAGTTAACGAGCCTTTACCATTTGGAAAAACAGTGCTGGCCAGTGTTAAAGATGACATTTGTCAAGTGGAGAACAGTGTGCCTCATAAGAAAAAATCAGTGAGTTGCTACAGAGGGTGCATCCTGTAACACGTGATGAAGTATAAATCTTTTATTGACACTCGTTATTTCAAAATTGTTTTTCTGTAGCAGGCAGGAGAAGCATTGAGTTTATGTCTGTTCGGTGTACATACGGATCTTTAAAGGTTGCGACTAAATTCTTCCAAACTATGTGCTTGACACTTGCAATTTGTGACGCATAATAAGATTTGTTGGCATCGTGTACGTATATGTCGCATGCAAGTTATAAATTCCACTAAGTATTCCTTTCCACGTTTAATATTCTGTAATTGTGTCTAGTTGGAAAATACAAAATCTTTCCTTGATATCAGAAAAAGACAGTATATTTGTGGATATATTGAGGAAACTGAAGAAAAACAAATATCACAGTGATTAATTATTTTAGTCTTGTGTTTACCAATGAACTGTTATCTTTGAAAATACCGTATATAATCATTTTAACTTTTGTACTTGCTCTTTTTTCGTGATGTTAGTTTTCCTCTGTGCTCGATAATCAAAGCCCTGACCAGTACAAAAACACCCATTTGGAATGGTTTTTTTTTGTTAAACCTCGTGCATGTTTTTTCTGATTGCAGTTTGTCATTTTAAGACCGTAATTTCTCAATTGTGTGGCTAGAACAGTTCTAGGTTAAAAGTTAAAATGATCCCATTGAGTTCCCTTCTTTTCTTCCTCGGCAGTAATGGTAACAGCAGTAGCTGGAGCAGTCTGGGGTTAGAAGGAGATATTTATGAGGAGAATTTATCCTATTCACCATCAGACAGGTTGGTCCAGTCCAAGATGCTGAATGCAATTAGTGTAGGCTTGTCTATGAACCTAGAATAATTACTGCATGATGTCATAGCTTTGATGATCAAGTGCTGAAAATTATGTCTGTTAATGTGGGGGCTTTTACCTTTTGAAATGCAGAAAGAAACAAAACACCTCTTTGTTCTGTTTAACCTTGTGGTTTGAAGTCGCTGTTCAGATGGAACTTGGTGTTTGTTCATATAATGGTGTGAGTGGGGTGAGAGGGTGGGGTATTCATTCATTCTAATAGCAAAAGTTCTATGAGAGAATAGCATATTTCTGTTTAAAACCGCATGCTGCACTCACTAAATGCAAATGAAATTTTGATTCTTGCTGTTCTGTCTTCTCACAAGATTTTGTTTCAACAAAGGAACAAATGAAGATGTATTAAGTAGAAACCTTAAACAGTCTTAATTTCCAACATTGTAATGAAAGATCCAAGATATAACTTTGAATGTATGTGGATGTAGCATGTTTTTTTACATAAATATAGTCTTTTTGCTATGCATTCAAATATGAGAGATGCTTTAAAGTTTTGAGAGTTAATTTCATTTAATTTTTAGTAAATGAAACAGTCATCTTCTTCATACTGTAGTTGTTTCAATTCAGTGAAAGCTTTCCGCTTCAGATTTACTTTCTCGGTGTTCCAAATTCAGCTTAGAAAGATTGGTGGTTTATTCCATAAAATTAATATTTGAAAATTAAATAATTGCCCTTCCAGTTCATTGCAGTTTGGATGCATCAGAAATTCAGAAGGATAATGGCATAGTTAAGATAATTGTCCTGTAGAATGCGGTCCAGTTTGAAATTACCCAGGTGGCTTCTTTAGCAATTCAAATGCTCTTCGACCATGAAAAGTAACTATGTTGATATTGCAGCCAAAGGTCTTAAAATTGAGAAAGAAATTAATCAAACTGTATTTATCCGCAGGACAATATTGTATTACAGTGTAACCGGACTGCATAACCATATCTTCTCTGAGGTTTAACATGAAAAATTACAGTATCATTTTCATTGCACATGATATTGGATCAAGCAAACTTGTTCCAATTCCACAATCCACAGATCACTGTTGTACAGCAATCGTGGACTCAGTTTAATCATACAGACATTGCATAAAAATTGAATGATGGATGAGATCAGATAAACCTTAAAATGCTCCTGGAATATTTCCCCTAAGAGAAAATAAGAATGCAGTGAATCAGTCTCACTGAAGTAATTCAGAGTTGCTTTAGTTTGAAACAAGACAATGTGAGAAGCTGAACATCCTGGTAATCTGTAATCCTGCTGCTGGTCTTTGCTGCCTGAACGCCTCATTGCATGCATTGTTTCCCACTCTTACTTAACCGCTAGCTGCCAAGCGTTGTGCTTTGGACTCTAACAGTTGCTTTATCAAATTGCAGTGATGGAACTGAAGACAAAGAGACGGAACCCAAGGAGGATTCAGATGGTAATGCTTTCCCACTGTTCAGAATTCTGCGCATTTGCTTTGTTGTGTTTAATGACGTGGAAGGGAGCGCCGGGATGTTCAGTGTTGGAGACACATTTCAGTTCTTTAAATGCTCAAGTGTTTTACAGTATGTCCTCGTTTTTTCCAGTGAGTAAGCAAGTCACTAAGACATTTTTTTTCTTACGCTGTCCAATTTAAAAACGGATTGTAACTTAAAGAATTTCTTGTGCTGGTGTGATTGGGTGTCTTCAGTTTAATTTTACTTCTGGTTCCAAAATATAAAGATTCCGATTCCACCGTTCTGCTTCCATTTCTGCCTAAATTGTTGCCTTTTCTAAATTGATGTCTTTTCCTGCCTCTAAGGCACGGATGCCAGACTCACCCAGACTGTGTTACTGTATACTGATAATCACGTTAAAGTCTCCTAGTTGAGCTGCATGACTGTAGGTATATTGTAGATTTATATTAGAGCTGGTGGGTATGAACTACTGCTACTGTACATTCTGGAAAATACTTTTATTGTGTAAGAAGCCATTCACAAATTGTTTGTATTGACAGGCCTTCTGCATGTTGAAAAGGGTCTGTTGGTGGTCAATACAGATGTAAGAGGACAATGTTTAGATCCCCAGATAAGGACAGTCTTGCAGTGGATAGCGGTTTCACACTCTGAACTCCCAGTGCTGCAGTTTGGCCAGCCTACTGAAAAAGAATTGCAGTTTGTGAGTACAAAAACTGTATCGTATCGTATGTTTTAACAAGGCTACATCAAAATATATAGGTTGTACATTACTTGAAGTGTTGCTTTGTTTTAAAAACCAAACTGATGGTATAATTCTATTTAAATATATTATTTATTGCTCAGAAAAAGAAGGAAAACAATCTGGAGTAGTGTTTTTTTTAAAGTGTTGAATGTCTGGAACCTGATTACTGATTGTGAGCATCCTTTTTAGTCTTCATAGCCATTAGAGTAAATCTTGACTTTTAACATATTTTGTTTGACACTATCTGTATTTGATAGAAGCTGAAACATTTCCAAAATGGAAGTGCACCAAACAGGGTGTGATGTACACTTGTGTGATAATCAAATGTGTTTTCCCCCCTTTTAGTTGCCATTAGTGATAAAGAAGGTCAAGGAGAGGGAGTGGAAGTTGGGAGACCTCCTGCAGTCTGTTCTGAGATATTGTGAAGAAATGGATCATGAGACTACAGGGGATAAACCTTTCTTTCAGTGGCTGCTAGATCCATAAATCCATGTTCTGGGAGAAGCCTAGAATGGATGCTTTTATAAATAAAAATTGTGGTGTGAAACAGTATTTGAAACTATCATGTAAGACATTAACTCACTGGGCAGTCACCATACAGTGCTGTGCATTTTGCCAAAGTAGAGACATGCAGTAGTCAATGGAATGTTACTGTTGTAATAGGTATTGCTTTTACACCTACATAGTACTTGCACAGAAGGCACAGCCTTCGAAACCACTGCTGTTTGCTTTCAGTGATGTGTGTGTGCACCGTACGCGTGACTGAAGGTGCTTTTATCATACCATGCATATCTACATCAGTATATTATACATTTGTGGCCATTTGTGCATTATAGATCTACACCTTGTTCTTGTATTGGAAAAGCAATGAGTGACAGCATGTGAAAAGTCATGGAAACTCCATTTCTTAAGTAGAAAGTATACTAACACCCCTCCATGGTATTGTTCTAACATGTTAGGGCTTCGGGCTTTTATTTCCACTTCTCATTTGGAGCTGCAGCAAGCAGTTTTTTTCTGCTGTGTTAGAAATTTTGTGTTTGAAGGACTTATATTTCAAACGCACTGGGAAAATATTTGGTCGTATACATTACCAATGATTCACGTTTCAATGAGTGAGAAGGTCATTTATTTTTTATTCATCTGAGAATGCATCTGCACAGGTTCAGCAAGGAAGAATGAAGTGTGCAGTTAGAACATTTAAAGTTAATGTCAGTTTTACTTAGCCACAAATACTTCAATTTGATCTGCAGGATATTATAAATATGTACTGTACATTATTACATGCTTTAAAACAGTCTGTATAGTATTTCCTGTGCATATGGCAATAAGAAGACTTACATTAACCCTATTTGCTTTAGAAACAATATTTTTTGTTTTCAGAGATATTCATTTGTGTATTGAGGAAAAATACGGATTTTTATGTGAGATGGGTGCATTGTTACCATGACAATTTACGACAGGTCGGTAGATGCACCAAAATACATCAAGTGCAAGCATATTGAAAAACATTTGGAATATTTTCAAAAATAACTTACGGGTGTCACGATTTCCAAAATTTTATTTGAATACTTTTGCACTTTGGCAAACCTGGAATTTCCATTTTCAATTTTCTTAACCATCACATCACGCTGGAAGTGGTCTCCAATGACGTAGATACAGCTTCTTCGTACTTAGTTAATGACACACAACTGCAGCCTTTCATCTTTTAACCACAGTGAAACTCGCATAATATAGCTTGGAATTCCTGCATGTCGTCATGCAATTAGATACGACACAAGAAAGGGGTGTCTTGAGAGGAACAGGAATGTCACGGAAGAGCAGTGAGTTTGATTGGGAAGCAGGCCACCTGAGAAGGTGATCTCAGTCCATTTGACAATCAGACTTGAGGTTTGTTTACTTTCTAAAGCTCAGTGTGCTCAGAGGGAAAGAGAAAATGAGCTGTAGCTCTATAAGCAGCAAAGGCAATTTATAGTTGACACCAAAATTAACAAATTATTACAAAGCATAAAAACATTGTTTTTCTTTATTCTCTTACTTTATTACTTTTATGACATTTATTGCAAAGCTAATGAAAATGTTCTCACTTGAGCTGAAAGTTTTAGAAGTTGAGAAAGTTTGATTTGAACTGGTCAATAATGAATACATTTCTGATTTATTACATAAAAAACAAAGTTTATATATAAATATGTACTGTGGGGACAAATCATGGGATACAGGCTGGAGCTTTACTCGGATATGTCACATAAAGTATCATCATGATATGAATGTACAGGCATTAAAAATAGCTGCAAAACAGTATAAATAATTCAGTATATACTTTTGAACTTAGATGTATTTCGGTTTATACTCCATGTTCATTAAAATGAATTATTGTAAAAACTTTATAAAGAGTACAGTTCACAAAGGTTCAACAAAATCCCTAGAACTAAAAGAAAATACTACAGTATATATTTCTATGTAAGCAATATTGATTTTCTATTTAGCATTTATTTCTGTTTTTTTTTTATCGAATCCTGAGTCTCATGAGGATATTTCATAACAGATTTAGGAAATTTAATTAATGCACAGCTCCATATTTGCCAGACAGGAGTAAATTATACTATTACACACAAATATCTTAACACAAAAAAGTAATTCTCCAAATCACTATTGTGTAGAATATTCTGAAATGTGTAGAGAATGTAAATATTCAGTCTATCATAATCATAAAAGGAGATCTGAGTTTAATGAAGAAATCATTCCTGAAAAAACACAATTGTGAACCAAAATACAAACTTCTGTTGCCTTTAAAGTAAACCAGGTAGATTGAATGTGAATAGGTACTAAATGTCATGGTTTCAAGATGTGCTTTTTTATTTCAAAATAATATCATGCATTTGGACAATAATAGAAGCAAGAAAAGGATTTAAGAAGCATTGCTCATACAGTATGATACAGGATATCTACAGTACATCCAAGATTAGTATGATCCAAAAGAGGATCTTAAATTCTCATTTGTTTTTCTTTTGTTTCCTGCTGAAATAGTTTACCGGCAATTCACTTCTGTTCGTACAGCAGTATGAGCCATTAACACTAATGAGGTTCTGTACCCTTGCCATGTACAGTATAAAAGGCAGGTTTAGTATTTTTAATGAAGAATAAAGAGGTGGCTGTAAAAATAGAAAAATGAATCTGGATATGTATTTTTTCAACACCATTAAAAGCTGATGCATTTAAAAATGGGATGTTAATCATATCAGGTTTTAGTGGCCTTGGCTGCCTATAATAGACAATGCAGCTACCATGGACTGAGTGTCATGCACAGCAGATGGTTGTATAAAGGCTTTCCAAAAGCTCTTTTTTCTAGTGGCAGAAGTTATTCCATAGTTACAAAACTACCAGAGCACTAAAACAAAATAGCAGTTCTTTGCCTTTTTCTGTGCACCCAGTTTCTTGCTGACATGAAAGTTCAATGCCTTAAAGAAATTGATTTTATTACAGGAGCTCATGCCAACTACCAGATTCAATGAGGTATGCTTTTTCAGCCTACGGGTATGAGCTGCTTTAGGAGAACTTATATTTTTGTACTTCTCTGGCGAAGAACAGGTGTAATATATTATCGGGTCATCAATATATCCCATTGATGAGCTGAAAACAGTGCAACTACTATTCAAATTTGTATCTAGAATAAATGTGAATGAAAACACTATTCTTTTACATTTAAGTATTTTTGCATTTTCTTCTGAAAAAAAACTCGACCAGCTGTGGACATATGTTTTATTTCAATTTACCAAATAAGGTCCCTTTTTTTGTAATATATACAGTAGAAGAAAAAGCCATTATTGCCAAAAAAAAAAAAACTCAGTCTCTTTCAAACAGATTGATTTTTTTATACCATTAGAAAAATGAATCAGTTTGCACTTATTAAATAGAAACTCTCGTACCGGAGAAAATCTACATTTTGGTGGAGTTAAGTAATGAGAGGGAGGGGGCATTCCAGACCCACAGAAGAGTTGAAAGAACCTTATTTCCTAGTACCCAGCAAAATTGTAGAACAAACTCAACTGTGTGTTCATGCTGTGTGTTTAAACAAGAGGCATTTATGTGTAGTCCTCTATTACTTGGTCACTTTATTTTATGTACGGTTGTACATTCCTTTTGAAAAAAGGCTTATTGCGTTTTAGTGTTATTTAACAGATTGTGAAATAAACAATTTAACAGTTAAACATTTTGTTACTTGTGCAGTGTTATACTCATCCTATCACACATTTTAGCTTAAAGATTATATGTATACTGACTTCTGTATTTTTCCCGCATATTTATATAATCTTGCCAAAAATGTAATGAATTTATGTAACTGTAAGTTATAAAAGTGAATACTTGTCCTCTTGTGATATTGCTGTGTAGTTTCCAGATTATAAGCTTCAAGTTGCACTATGTTGTTCATTGTTGTTTTAGCTGTAACTAAGAATAAAGCCCTTTTATTATCTGTATAATGTGTGTGTGTGGTCTTTGTATTTTACATTATTTAACCATGAATTTGAAAGTAGTTTTAACATGTACTCATAATATTTCCCGTACGTATTTTAAACTACTGCAGTTTTGGGTCCAGCCCATAAAAAGGTATTTCATGAACATACTAACTTCTGACGTCATGTACATATGACAGATCAATCAAATGGTTCAATGTTTATATTTATATTTTATATTTACCATGAGGTTTCTTCATCATTCCTCAAAAAATCATTAGATTGACAATCATTATTTTTCAGAATTTGTCAATATTACTTTTTAAAGCAATTTTTAAAAGTTTCTGCCTGTGTACCAAGTCATTCTAAATCTGAGTAATTGTTTTTCTGAGTTTTGGAGTTCTAACCTTTTTTAAGATACTTAAAATCACCTGGTGATTCTAAATTCTAAAGATTAAATGAGACGAAAAATATATAGGAATGGTATACTTCTTAGTTGGGCACCTGGCTGAGGAAATAACAGTGGTAGCTGAAGATCAACACTCACAACCCTGCCTCACTTGTGAGGAATGAACCAGAGAGGCAGCTGCAAGGGTAGAGGAAGAGGTGCTAGAAAAGATGTGGGCAGCCAGCAAGTATCTAGAATTTGGAGAGTAGAAATGCACAATCACAATTTGATCTCCACCTGAACATCTTATGTCCATGCACTTGTAGACCCAAATGGCTAATATAAATTACCTTTGAATATCTATATAAAAACTTAATCTTGTTATAAACAATCCTTTGTCAAAGTTGTTGCTACTTGTATCTGGACCTCCCTGTTGTGGAAAGAAAGACACCTGTGAAAACCGCTCTAAGCTTGCTGTATCTAAAAATCTATTTTTGTTGCCAAAAAATGTTTACAGTTTTGAACGTGTTCCAGACAGGCTTAATCTATGTAGCCTGCCCTCAAGCAAATGAACTGCGGTGAGGCCCTTTTGGCAACAACTTAACAACGTTTACAAGAAAGTTTTAGATTCGGCATACTCCTCAGGTAAATGAGAAGCTGGGAAAGTCTGGATTGTGACTCATAACACTGGTGTTAATCACAAAAGCTTCAAAACAGGGAAACTCCTACCACAAAATTTTCTAAAGCATTTTCCTGTTTTATTGAGAAAATTGTCTTGATTTTCCATTTTGACAAGGACACATATACTGATGAGAAAACTGCAGAGCAAATCCACTTTAACTAGGGAAATAAATTTGAATTGGGTGTCTTTGATTCTTAAAGTTTGACAGATGGCAACATTTGAATTACTGTTAGTCTGCAATGCTGCATTAAGAGCTATTCAGGATGTTGTCCAGAGAAGGCAGCACTGTTGGGGTCAATGGGGCGCTCAATGTGTTACGTATGAGTGATGTTTGAAGGCTTCGTTGGATTTTTTTAGTAATAGCATAGCTCATTTCATTGCCACAGAATATAATTAAAAATCAATTTTATACAGAAATAAGTTTATTTTTAAATTATAGTTACAGAAGAAATACATTGTATTTGGCTGTGCAGGAATACACAGTCAAAAATGAACTTTTGTCTGCCTGTCAGTGTTGTTAAGACAGCATTTGGATGAACCGATAAAAATAATATTTGGATACCACCGCTCAGGGTATCAAAGATACTCAGAAGAACATAAGGCTACAAATGAAAGGCAGAGCAGACCCATTGGGAAGAAGCTTATTGACCCCAAACATTAATCCAGTTGGTTCTTGAAGGAAGCCAAGTCAACCACATGACTAGCTTTTTCTATACTTCCACAAGTCCTTTGGCTCCTAATCTTGGTTTCACATGCACTTCCATGTAGTTTCCACTTGTGTACTCTGTTCACTCTGAACTCTGCTTGGTTGACTCCATCAGTGCCTTTGA